CCACTGACATTGCATTCGGAAGGAACCGGCCGGAAGGCTGGGCTCATGGCGTTCACAGCCAGCCGCATGCGCCGCATGGCTTGCCCTCACTGGAGCTGGCAATCGATGCGCCGCACTGGTGGGTTTTTGGAGGTGTGCTGACCGGCTAAGTGCCATGCCAACCGGGCTCCCAAGTTCATTGGGTCAGTCTGTGCCTAGGGCGCTCTCCCACATGAATGCTTGGGAAGCGCCTCTCAACCACTGACGCTGACTTGGCGTCTTTGGGCTCCGTGCTAAGCACAAGGGCGATTTGGGTTTTGTGGGCTCCGGCGTGAGGGTCCCTGATGGCTGCCTGCCCCCAGCTTCTAGGCCAAGAGGCTGACATGAGTTTGTGTGGTGCACACTTGCAGGGGCTGTGGCCGAGGTTTCGGGCTCCGGGTTGCGATTGCAGTTGGGTGGGTCGTGTCTGCCCCTTTGGCTGGGCCACGCAGACCTCACACCAGCTTGGAGCACTCACAAAGGCCGCAGCGCTGTGTTGGCTTTTGCCCTCGGTGTGTTTGCGCGAGCTCTGTGCATGCGCAGCCTTTCGCAGAAGGCATTTGCCAAGCAGTCGCAGTACTGGCTCAGGTTGGGCAAGCCATGTGGCCGCCTTTGGTGGTGCGTTCACACATTGCTGAGGGGCGCGCAAGCTGCGCAGGCGTTGACGGCTTGATCCCCGTTCCCGGCCGGTGCGCGACACAGTCTGGCGTGCGCCGCCCGAGTTTCAGCTTCATGAAATTTGGGATGCGCCGGCCCAAGATGACCAGCTCAATGCTCGGGGCGCTCGGCATGCTTGACTTTTCGGTGGTGGGTCACCGGCGCAGGCGAAAGTGACAATTTGCCAAAAGTAGTTTTCTGGTTGGAGCCCTTGTGACGCCTTGTGCAGCCAAAGGGGATCCAAAGAAACCACGCATCACGACAAACCAAGCGCATCTATTGTCCTGGTCAGCGCCGCTTCACCCACCAGAGCGCCAGCTCAAGTGCGGGAGCCCGCGCAGGGCAGGTTGCATGGAGTGATCCTGGAACGGCGCTACCTCACGTACCGTGCTCTTAGTTTGTGCGGTTTGGTTGAAAACATAGCCGCTATGGCCATTGCTCCGCGACGCTGGTTTGGTTTCACCTATGAGGGCCACTGGAGCGGGCGCAGACGTTCGCTGTGTAGGCAAGCTCAGCTCAGCCCCTTCATTTGATTTGTGCCACGGAGCAGCGCCTGTCAGTGGAGAGGGCCGCCGTCCACCTGATCCAGCAACTTGACACGCGCCAGAGCTTCGCACTCTCAAGCCACAGGGCTGTTTGTGCGCAAATACAGATGTGGTGCAGGACTGGAGCTTTGTGTTTTAGCTTGCCGTCAAACAATTTCTGAGGCGGCTCTCTGGTGGCAGCTTTGACTGGTATCATCCATCTTGTTGGCGGTGGCGCGTGCATGATGCCCTCAGCGCCTCCTGGAAGACAGGCAAGGGAGCAGGCGGCCACGCGCGGGCAGTGTTGCACTGCCGGGCCCTCGCGTCGAGTGGATTTAGTCAGCTGGCGGTGCACATGAGCGGCCTTGTTGCGCAGCCATTTGTTCATTCCGTGGTGGCAGGGATTGCAATATGTTAGCGTGGGCTATGCCTGACATTGTTCATGGCACATGGCCTGGAAAGGACGGCCGTTCCGTTTGGAAAGCACACTTTGGAAAGTGCAAGGGCAGTCGTACGCACGATCAAGAGCTTGGCAAGGCCAACCAATGCAGCTGGCAGCCCTCCATGCCGCAGCAGTGGGGGGCCTCCTAGCATTGTTGGGTGGAGCTGATGTAGCAGGCGATAGTGATGCTACACTGCAGCTTAGCAAAACAGGGCTTTGACTTGGAGTTGGTTTTTCCTTGCATCGGACCTGGCAAGCCTCAGCGCAGGCTTGTGACTTGCTCCATGTTGGTGTCACCCAGCCGCCCAGCTGGGTCACTGGGTCACTGGGTCTGGCTCAAAACTTCAAAGGCCATGTTTGGCCCGCAGACTTCAGTGACTCGTGACGCGCTAAGTTTCCGATGCGCAAGAGGAACCGATCAATCGGCCCCAATGCTCGAGCAGCCAAGTGCTGGTAGCCAGGCCTGGCGCTCGGCTGGCAGCGCCTTTCAAGAAGCCGCGGCGGTGTCCGCAGCTCCAGGCTTCGCACGGGTTCTGCGGCGTTTCGCCCGGAGTTGGGAGAGATTTCATCACTGTTCTTTGGCTTGCAGCTTGTGTGCACCGAGAACTGGGGACACGGAGTTGGTGCTCTTTGGAGCTTCCTGTTTGGATCTGGTTGTCTTCACCAGGCCCTGAGTTCCCCGCCTTCTCTACTTGAGCCGGGTGTGACATGGCACAGGAGCAGGGAGCCATTGCGCGCAGTGGCACGCAGCCACCCTTTGTAAGCTGTTGATGTCGCCGGAATCAGCGATGTTCCAGGTGGCAGATGCTGGTTGTGTGGTTCAGAGGGACGGACCCATGAGGGGTACGGGGCGCTGGCGCCGTCCTTCATTGAAGCACTGCTGTCAGAGGCGCTGTCAGGTCCACGAAGCTGTCGTGACGGATGCCCTTTAACCAGGGCCAGAGAGCCGCAGAGCCGCAGCCCTTGCAGCTGGAGGTGCCTTTTGTGTCAGGGCCATCCGCAAGCATGTTGCACATGGTTGTTGAAAACAGCCATTGGGGGTAGTTGCTTTTGGGACATTAGCTGTTCCATTGACTAACGGGGGACCAGCCACCAGCAACCAGAGGATTGGTTGCTCGACAGCCATGATGCCACTTCTTGGCATATTTTTTTGCTGATTAGTGGCAAGGGCGAGTTGGGTTGCTAGGCCGGGCGCGCGCGGCCGAATCCTTGGGCCAGGATGGCTTCCAGGAGAATGCTTTGGCATCCGTCTTTGAGGATGCTCATCTTGTTGCCGGCCGGTGGCGCAGATGTGACGAAGGCCCGCAAGCCAACAGCTTTGCCCGAAACTGCAAGGGCGCCCAAGGGGCTTGTGACCCACAGGCCATCGCATCAGCCCGCTAGATGCCTTCAGTGCTACCGGGAAAGTACGCCGGTGCGCCCTTGCTTGTGTGTCTTGTGTCGACCGACATGAGCACGCTGCGAGAAAAGAGGGGCCACACGTAAGGTCTTTGCTCGCAAAGATTGCTTGACGCCCGCAAAACTTCGGAAGCTAAATGCCCAGAGCAGTGCCATGCACAGAAAACAGGCCGATGAGGCTTCGCGAGGGCCGGTGAGGTTAACATGAAAGGAGAGCCTGCATCTTTGGTTGCAGCTTGGGGCTTGACTGTGGCACGCGGGCGGCTCGGACTTTGGCAGATCTCCTTGCACCAGTTCCCTACATTGGCTTCCACATAAACCTATGTTCTCACAGAAGGCTGTGGAGGTCCCGGGGACTGCACATCTCTGGACCGTGTCTCTGCGATTTGCTCAGGGCTCAAGCATCATTAAACAGAGCAGCTGCCAGTTCGTTTTTTGTTCCTTGCCCTATTTGTTGCGTTTTGAGGCTCTCTACATATGTGCCACAATCAAATACTTTTTATTTTGGTTGAGGGGGCAAAAGCTGAGGTAGATGCGGCACCAGATGGGGATGCCCGACAAACCTTGTCAAGTTAGACATCGAATCATGAATCTGACTATCTAAAGCAGGCAGGTGCCTTGGCAGCAACAACAGCGGCAACAGCACCACTAGCAGGAGCCAACCGCCACCAGAGACACAACCACCGCCACCACCACCAACAACAACGGCCGCCACCGTTATCACCACAACAAAACCGACAGGTGGATTGGTAGTGTCCAGTTTGTCGATGCGGGCCACTGTGCCGGGGCCCCATGGAGATGGTTCGGTCTTTGCCGTGTCTTCTTTGAGGGCCTCGAGCTCTCGAGAAGTCAACAGGAAAGCCACCGAAACCGTTTTGCTTGTTTGTAAGCCATGAAAGACCCGTGCCGAGTGACATGGCTCCAAAATTTGATAGGGAACTCAAGAATGGTTGGCCCTGTAATTGACTTTCAAGGTTTGAGTTACAAGGATCCCCAATTAGCATTGATACCCACAATGAGACCACAGGCATCGCCACACGTGCTTTGCACCAGTTGATGTTCATTTGAAGGGTTCTCCTTACATTCATTGGAACAACATAAATCTTCCCCCCGCTTGATAAATACAGTGCGTGGACAGAACCCACCTTGCAACAGTTGAGATGATGAAGCTTTCTACATCTGGGCATGAGGTTTTGTGATCTAAGAGGGCTTCCTCCACTTTAGGGGGACACACTCCCCTCTAAAACTCACCAAGACTTATTCAGGCTTACTGAGCTTTGCGGCCCAACACATCTTTGCGGTCTACTCGGGTTGCCCAGTTGGATACCCCGGCCAGGAATCTCACAGGCTACTTTCACTCGAGGTGCCCCAAGGAAGGGTTCGCGGAAGTGGAAGCGCAGGTTCCTTATGATTATACATATGACACTATGTACGCAAATATATATATATATATATGTATATATATATATATATTATGACAACCCACGCTACATACCCTACGGAAAGTGGTCTACTAACCTCCCCTCCGTTGGGTTTTTAAAGGCCAGGTTCCAAATCTCAGGCAGTTTAATATGGGTCTGAAGCCTCCACTTTAAAAGAAGCCCAGCGGCTGCAAGTGGCTGGCAATGATTTCCCAAGGGCTATAAAGGTTCAATTGACATAAAAGCAGAGCCCAAAGCTTGACAAAAGCCTTGGTATTCTTTTGGCAATGGCTGGCAATGATTTCTTAAGATGGTGTCAACTGCGGTACAGATTCGCTGCGTACATGGCATCCCTTTCAGCCTTCGAGGTCAGCTCGTATGTGTTGGTCCATCACATCTTCGCAGTCCCCTCCATGCAACAGGGACCCTGGAGACGACCAACGAACATGGCAGCAAATGTATCAAGCCTTTGGCTGGGACCCAGTGTCCATATTTGGCTCAAGCATTGGCCCCTTTCGCAGCGCTCACGAAACCGCGCGCATGGTGAAGAAGCGGCCAGCAAGCAAAGCTAAGGCCGCAGACAAAGTCAAGAAACCGCCCGGTGCCTACAACAAGCCCGTGAGTGCGAAAGCGTGGGCCGCAGACAAGCTGGCGAGATCCAAGGGCCGAGTACACATCTTCAACTCGACCCGGCCGCATGGCATGGATGGCTGGACCATGGACTTGAAGCAGTACAACTTGATGCGGAAGCATATCTTGGAGTGCATCAAGAAGAAGTCGGACGCGTCCGGGGCGGTTGCGTTGCAATATGTTGTGAACTCCGCTCAGGAGCGCTACAAGTCTCACTCGCTATTCCCGAAAGGAAGGCTCACCAACTACGTGAGATACACCAAGGTGGATTTGGAAGCCCGGGGAGAGATCGAGCGAATGCCCGGCTCCGGGTCACAGCGAATTCGCTTAAGATGAGGAACGGCGAAGCTGTAAAAGTTCTTTGCTTTCCACGTATGTGCCAAGAAAAGCCTGACATCCTGACCGCATTGCGAGCACAAACAAGAAGAGAGCTTCGCTGCGAAGCTGGGCGTCTCCTCGCTCCTCGTGCGCCTGATCCCCCCCCCAAAAAAAGAAACACAAAAAAACAAAAAGCAAAACAAAAACAAACAAAAAAGAACACGCTTGAAAACCTTAGGTCCATGAAACAACCTTGCAGAATCCCAGCCGAAACCAGATCTGCGGAGAAGTTACACCATCCCTTGTAAGTCTTTGGGTATCTTGTGCGGAGGCTTTGAGTGACCTCAGATACCGTTGCACCCCTCTGAGAAGGGCATGGCCCTGAATGGTACGCCGCGGCTCTCAGAACCACCTTTTTTCAATCCCCATATTGAGACCTTTTGACCAACCCCAAAAGGGGGTTCCCCGCAAATAGACACACCCACAGTGGACAGTTTCTCAAATTGGTAAAGAGGTCAAAGAAAGGCAAGAGAATGGATCACACCACCCATACGGGCTGACATGGAAAAAGGGAGAAAGAACGGAAAGCTGCCTTTTTTTGGGTCCCCGTACTTTTCCTTCTGCAACTAACTCAGATGATGAATCGGCCATCGAGTCATAGCGAGGCCGGGCTATGCATTTGCGTCGCTGGCTCGGTGATCGGCAGTTCACGAGCTCTTGATCCAGGGCTGGAAGGAGGGATTCCACTTCAGGCTCCTTTCCTTGGGGATTCCGGGTAATGTTTTCGGGTGGTTTTGAAAGAAAGCCAACGGGATCCTTGAGAGAAGACAAACCTACACTTCCCCAAGTGTGTTTTAAGCGTCTTTTCGGCCAATTCTAAGTGAGTTTTTCTTTGTCCAAAAGGGAAATATAGGGAGGCACTATAGATGTCTGCAAGGGTATGTTAAACATCGTGTGCAAATTCAAAGTGAGTATCCTGCTGGTGATATGCAACAATTTGGGACGAGCCCTGCCTTACTTGGGCGTGACCTTTAACATTTTGCCGTCGTGCCGCTCGGTTTCTTGTCATTAGCCTGGCGCGCGCCCATCTTCCTGGCAGACATGGTTGGGCTTGGGCTTGACGTGGCTTCAGGGCAGGATGCTTGCTGTGGAGTTGAGTCAGTCAGTGGCCTTGGGGCTTGGGATGATTGTGTGTTAGTTGCGGGGGCAGCTTGAAGGAACGATTGTGTAACTCCCTGCTTTTCCGAGGGGTGGTCCAGGAGGGGAGGGTGCAGCCGCGCCCAGAGCGAGCCACCCCCTAGCATCCCCCAAGCGTCCCCAAAGCATCCCTAACCACGCCCCAATCGCCCCTAAGTACTGCGGGGTTCTGCAAGCCTTGCTCCAGAGACGCCTCTTCTCCCAAGGTTCGAGGCTCCGTGGAACCGCGTCTTAACGCAGCTGAGCCCCGCGCCGTGCGCTTCGGCTCCGCGCACTTTTTCGCGTGCGCCGGGCTCAGGAAGCTGTGCTGTGGGTGTCCGGGTTGGGGATCCTTCACATTCAGGAACACTGGAGTACTCGCAAAGCCTTCGTCCTCTTTGACTGAAAAAGTGGAGCGCAAGGAGCCACCCTGAGTGATGCACAGGGGCATCCCTCTTTTTGGCGCGGTATTCCACACAATTCTGACATTTATACTACTGCACCTTTTGTTGGGTATGTTGAAACTAGTTGGACCCAATCAGCTCAGGTTGCATCGAGATACCGGGTGCTGAGGTCCCCCTAGTCCAGACAAGCCCGACCCCATTTCCCCGACTCCTTTTGTGGCTTTTGCTAATCGAAAAGGGGACATGAAAGGTGGCCGTTATGCGACACATCTTGCGATCCTGTATGGCGCCCTAGGAACGGGTAGTTGAGTTCTCTTGGAGGTCCCCGAGTCTGTTTCCACAAAGGATTCGGCGGAAGCCATATGTAGGCCATACTTTCAGGGCGGGTCACAGGGTGACCAGGTGGTCCAACCCTGGGGAAGCAGGTCCATGGTTTCAGGTTGGCAAACTTCATTTCTGGCTGGCGAGTTCCTGGATTTTGCTCAAACCCCAGACAGTTTGACCTCTTCCACTGTCAGGTTTGAACTCTGTGGGTCCATGTGTGACTATCTCAAGGGACCTAACCATAGGTGTTGGTTGAAAAATAGATGGCCCTGGTTTACCTCGTGGTTTAATCATCTACCAGGGAAACCCATCAATTTCTCTAAAAGGACACCTATGGACCTAACATCCCTCCGGTCTTTCCCTTTTGAACAATCCCAACGCGGGCATTCCCAAGACACACATCCGCCTAGGTGTCCGAAGGGCCGCTTGGCGCGACAAAGCTCGCCGCCTTTGCGGCGGGCGCCGCGGTCGCCTCGGTGAGGCACGCCCTTTGCCCCCACACTTTGTAGACCTCTCCACACGGTTTGCCTGTCCAGCTTCCTCATTAATGGTGCCCTATTTGGAATTGGGGACAAAAGTGGTGAGCTTGAAAGTCCATCAGCTGCCCCCAATTCCAAGCATTCACTCACGCGCGTGAATTGGGCAGCAGATCTCGCAGAAGGTTTAGGAAGGAAGGCCTTCCTCATCCTGGCCTTCTTGTTTCTTTGCTTCCTGACGTTTTGCTCCCTTGTCTCCTTTCGTTTGTGAAATTTCTATGCCTAGTGTTCAACACACTCACGTCGTCTTTGGTCTCAAGATCCGAGGGTAAATGTCAAGCTCGCGCCCAAAGCGAGCTTTGGTGTTTCCTGTGCATACTTATAACCCATGCGCAAAACGCCGCCGCCGGTTTGGACTCCGTAGCCTCACATTTCTCTTATGGTTGTCGAAGACACGCTACATGGCCCCTTGGATGGCTTCAAATCTTGTCCAACTTGGCCCATGCGATCTGTGGATTCGACTTTAGTACTGACCTCTGTTGTAGTCCAAGGAATCGTATCGAGGGGAGAAACATGGAAGGCTACTAGTGAGCAGGCAATTTCAGGCCTACTTTTTGGCACGTTTTTGCCAGCAGGGCGAATGTGATTTGGACTCCCCATATCATGGATGTTTAAACTTGCCCCTCAAGGGAAACCAAGATACCACCAAGGCCTGTGGAAGGGGGGTTGTGGGGGCGCACTAAATCAGGACGTCATGATTATGAGGGCAACATCTTGCCCACATCCAATCAGTTTGTTTCGTGAAGTTGAGTTCCAAGCTCACCAGGTCAGCCTCGCGAGTCCGCAGGAGTGTGGGGCCTATACAGTTTCAGATGCCAGTGCAGGTTGGGCCTAGCCCCACACATCAAAGGGGGCCGGAAAGGGATTTGAACACGAGAAGTGTCTGAAGTGTCTTTTGATTGGCTACAGCCCCGTGAGAAATCCCAACCCGCCCTTCTGGGGTCTGATCGAACCCGCCGAAGCAAAAACGCAGGTTTGTCAGGATGCCAATTCACATGCGGGTGTTTTGGGTATCATGTGAGGACCTTATAGCAGACCTCAATGGAAACCAGGGTCTGATAAAACTTCTTGTGAAAGCCATTGGACCGCCTTGGACATCTCTGTTTGCATCTCGCCGCGCCCGGTTCACATCACAGAGCTCTTGAGTCATCTTGACTTCAGGAAAAGGATCCTAGCCGGGGTGTGGTTCTTGCAGCGCATCAACCCCCTACTGGTTTCCACAGTCGCAGCGGAGCCACGTTTTGGGGACACGGACAGCATTTCGCTAGCAGCAGTTGCTTTTTCCACATAGGCTCTCGGGCCACGCCATAGTGCGCCTGGCCGTTTGGGATGGCAAGGCGGAGTTGTTGCGGGACTTCCGCAAATTGGTGTCATGGGTTTCCTCGATCGACCTCACGAAGACGGCAGCTCAACCTCGCGGCCAGGTTGGCCATGAAGCAGAAGGGGTCGGCCTTGGAGCTCGAGCCCTTGGATTTGGCGTATTGCCCCACTGAGACTCAGACGGATGCGGATGCTGGCGAAGAGCTGATCTTGGTGGAGCGAATGCACGAAGGGCATCTATGAGATCCTGGATGCTTGGGAGGAAATGGTTGGACGCACTCTCACTGATCGGCCAGGCGAATTGCGAGAAGGTTTTGCATTCCGCCCAGCCCATGAGAGTGTGCGAGCAACTTTGCGCTGAGGTACCGGACCGTCCTGGCAGAGCTGAAGAGCGAGGGCGTGGTGGTCAACGATGCTGAGGCAGCTAGGTTCTACAAGAACAAGTTGGGTCTCAGCAAAATCCAGAAGAAGCTCCTCGAGACCACCTTGGGCACGAACGCGCGTGTCTACGCGGATTGTGAGAAAAAAGAGTCACTGAGGCTGTTCAAGCGGATGCGCAACACCGGTCCACAAGCCCCTCAAGACTCAAGCCCTTCTTCGACAACAACAGCAGGTTCTCCAAGCGATCTTCGGATTCGCGATCTACGGCCTTCCTCAGCTACGGCATCCACATTCAGCAAGTTCCGGAGGAGCTTTGGTGGTCCTCGTGGGGAAAAGCTGGCGGTGCGTTGGGAGGATGCTCTACACACGTTCTACGTGGACTTGGGGCTGACAGAAGATGGAGGTGAAGATCCGGGCTCAGGAACCTGGACGGCCTCTTCCTGAAGTTCTACCTCTACCGCGTTCCGTATTCTGTGGGAGTAGGTCGTCCTGTACATCGAGCGGAGGCGGAGACCCAGTTCCATGGGGACTGTGGAAGGGCAAGGTGGACGAGCAGCAGATGAGCAGGTCGCAATCAGTGAGCGGACCGCAAGCCATGGTGCCAACAGTTGGGGTCTCACCTTGCAATGAACTCAATTCAAATGCAATATCAAACCTCAGTTGCGCCACCAACGTATCGAGCCAAGCAAGCCACGCAGTTGCTTGAGCTCCACAGCTGTTAAACCGTCAGGGCAAACCCACCTTGAACTTCTCCCACATGGCCCATTGTGAAAAAACGGTAGGCTCCAGGAACCTTTCCAGGTCGTACGTTCCGCAGTTTCCAACTTGCCATCGGCGACATCTTGTTGCTTGCAAGCTCACCAGTGGGTGCACCTGAGGATGAACCTCTTCTGCAGCCGCGGCCAAGACCTCGAGCTCCTTGTCCGCAGCGGCTCGAACACCTTGGTGGCTCCGTCGCTTCCTCTCGCGCCAGATGTCCTTCAGAAAGCGAACGCCTTCCCAAAGCTGAAGCCTCCATTGTCCGACCGCTCCTCCCACAGGCGCTCGCTCCACAGGCACTGATTGCTGTCCTCTCTCAACAGGCACTGATTGCTGTGCGCTCACTGAAAGCGCAAACAAGCTGATTGACGATTGCAAAAGGAGCTGGGATTTTGAGCTTTGGTTTTGCAACGTGGATTGGAGCAGTGGCGCCTCGTGATGGTCTCAGATGCAACACTTGGCAACGTCAATGAAGCCGGTGCCGCAATTCGCAGCCTTTCAGCGCTTCTTGACAACAGCGCGCTGAGAAAACGCATCGTTTACAGCGTGTGCGCCGATCCTCACGCAGTGCAGAGACAATTGGCGTGGAAGAAGGTTTTGATTTGGCGCAACTTTGCAGAGGCTTCATTGCAGAACTGAGGGACCTTCTGAAAGGTACGGCGGCAGATTACGTGTGGTTATGTCAAGTTCCGCCTGTGGGTGTGACAGCCGCTAAGGACAGCTGCGACAGGCTGTCTACTGACACTGGTTTGGGGTCGCAGAAGTCGCTTTGCTTCACAATTGCAGCGCTGAGGCAACGGCTCAACACATGTTTCAGGTGGACGGGAGCCTTTCTTGCAGAAGAGCATGAATTGCTCCAGTTTTGCACGAAGCTTGGCAGTGAACCCGGTTGGCATTTTGTTGACGGTGTGGGGGTTCACGTAGCTCAGAGTGCGAAGGCTTTCCGAACACAGGAGCCTCGCTTTTCTCTACAAGTGCGAGGTACTTTTTGGCAAAGAACCGAGAAGCGAGGCCAGTGGCGATTGCTTGAAGAGCATGTGGATAAAGGTGGGCTGTTGAATCAACATGCCCCACCGTGCATCGCGGTTGGTGACATTCTTCACTGGGTCCAAGGCAACGAAGAATTTTGAAGGCATGTGAAAGCCATTGGATTGTCTTTGGCATCTCAGACTGTTTGCATCTCGCCGCGCCCGGTTCACATCGCAGAGCTCTTGAGTCATCTTGACTGCAGGAAAAGGATCCTAGCCGGGGTGTGGTTCTTGCAGCGACATCAACCCCCTACTGGTTTCCACACTTGTAGCGGCCTTCACTGAAACCCTGTGAAGCTCCCCGATCAGATCCCTTGCTTCTTGTTGGTGAATTGCGCCAACTCCCTCAGATGCATTCGCGCGACTGCTGCTTTGGCCTTTTCTCTTTGTTTGCTGTGAAGGGCCAGACTATTCTGTTGAGCGCGCGCGTGCCTGCGCGCGTGGGTAGTTGAGTGGGTCGTGGGAGTGTGTTTCGAAAGTAGGGAACCTTTTCAGGACAGCTTGAGCAAGTGAGACCAAAGATTGGGAAGGGTAGTGTGGAGCTTGATCCTTGCTCGGTGCCTGCTATGGAGCAAAAAGTAGCTGGTGCTCCTTGGGAATTGCACGGGAGTTAGCCTGAGGGCGCCCAGCAAGTCCGTCAATACGGTGTGATTGACAGACAGCCCCTTGCTGGGGAAAAGGGCCCATGCTAGGGAGCGGGCCAGTTGACAACTACTTTTAGTTTGAGAAGCGGTTGTCGGCTCCCATTTCTGGAGACTCACAGATGCCGCCAGACCAGGCCCCACCGTTTCAAGACTAGACAAACTTTAGACTTTGACTTGGCACACGTCCGCCTTCGCATTGCCTTGGTGCGAGGCTGGTGCATGTATTTGCACATTTTGTGCACAGGGCTCCTTAAAAGATACATTTTGCCAATTTGAAACATGGCTTTTTCCACCCAAATAAAGGGAAACCGCAATTTACAAGGCAATGCTTTGGTGACGCATGACCCCAAGAGAAGAAATTGTCTAAGAATTGATCTGACTGTTGCTTTCCCGCTCTTGCTTGATGGGCGGCAGTCGCTGGCAATGAGTGATTTTCCTCAAGAGGGTCAGTTTGGGCGCTTTTTGGGCGTTGTGAAAGGTGGGGCCTTCCTTTAAAAGGGCTTCATGTTGGCCCACCATAAAGGAGGACCCAAACCGGCGCCCCTACGGCCTCCGGAGAAACCACCGACTTTTTTTTTAAAACCAGGTCACTTGTAGGGAACAAATCCCGCCTTGCAAGCTGAATGTGTTTAAGGGGCTGTGGTTGTCAATGGTACCATTTTGGGGTAGGTGCACCACCCATTTTAGAACCTATTTTAGTGGTTGGATTGAATCGGATGTTCACTGGCGCTACGATTTGGATTTTGACCCAGACTCGCGCCTTGAATCGATCCCCAGGTGCCTTCTTCGATGAGTGGGCCCTGGAGCTGGAGGCTGTGGGTTTTCCAACTTCAGAGCTGAAAATTGGGAGGAGGGGGAGCCCCCCGTTGGTTTGCTTGGCATTTTCACCTTTTCTCCCCCCGGCCATCTTGTGTCTTCAAAAAACAAGGCAAAGAGGGGCGTGCTTTTTTTCACTGGACATTTCGGAGGGTAACTCTAGCCGGCCGAAAAACACCTTTCAGGAATGTGCCAAAAGGCACGTCCGCAAAAAGGACAGGATATCGGGACTTCTCCTTTTTGTCTGGCTTGAACAAGGGAGGCAAAACAGGCTTATCCTCCTTTTTGCATGAAAGAGAGCCAAAAGTAAATAGGAGCTTTTTCTCTTTCTGCCCGGCTTGTAAGAGGAAAGCCAACATGAAACTGCAATTGGTTTAAATAAATAGATAAATATACATATATATATATATATAAACAGGGTTCTCACATAAGAACGCCAAAGGGAAACAGGGGCTCCTCCCCAAGGATGTCAAAAGGGAGGGCGAAAGGGAGAATGCTGGATTATCCTGTCTATTTGGGGCCTTCCCTCGGTCTTTTGGTCAATCTTTCTGCAGCTTCTGGAAAGACAACGCGTTGGCCGCAACTTCCATTCTTGGGTAATGTTGAGGGGAGGGCCCAACACCACCTGGTTCTACGCCCGCGTCAGCCCACGGCGCACCGGTTTCGGGGGGCTCAGCTGTTGGGAAGTCGAGGCGCGGCTGGGCAATGAGCTGAGGGAGGAGGAGCTGGGCGAGGTGATGGCTAGGCGGGGGAGGGGGGGGGAGTACCCGTGGGTCTTTTTAGAGGCTGATCTTCCAATCTTCCGCGCGCCCTCGCACAACTCCGTCAGTGAACCTCTTCTGAAAGGAGGACCCAAAGCGTCGGCGCGACATGCGAGCAGACCCTGAGCTCGAGCCGGGTAGGGTCGAGTTCAAGATAGCGCGCTTGCTTAGGCAAGGAACTAGCTTGCGAAATGTGACCGCCAGGCCCCAAACAGGGGGCGTTTCCAACCCCTCGTTAGCAAACCACGGCGCTCTCCGCAGTCCCCCAACTAAAAAATGCCAAGAGTCAAACAGGTTTGGACCTCTACAAAAGCCACAGGCTCAAAGTTGTTCTATCCCAATCCAAACCACCAACCAAGGGTTACCCTGATGCAGCCTTTCTTGGGCGTCCATTCCATATTTCAGGTTGGTGAATGCACGGAGGCTTCTGCTGAGGTGGAAAGCAAGGTCGGTGAAAGACTTGGGTTTGTTGGACGTAACCCTCAACAAAATATTCCCAAGTATTTCTCGGTAAGATGGTGCGCCTAAAAACACATGTGGACTTGTGTTTTGCGGCACGCAGTACCACATTTTGCACTGTTTCAGTGAGGGGAACCACAAGGAAGCAGCACCGCTTGGGGCAATGCGTGTGTCTGATTAAGGTTGGACCCTCCTGAAATGGTTTTGCTTTGGTTTCCCTTTAAACCAAGCCTCAAACGGGTGCGTCCAAACACGTGCCCACTTTGCCGGGATCTTTCGCTGGAAAGCTCGCCCCGTTGCCGGGATCGTCTGGCGGTGGCAGGGTGGTAGGAAATTGGGAGCGGGAGGTGTTGGGAACGGCGGGCCATTTGCGTGCCGCCCAAACCGACCCTTTTTGGGTGGGTTGAAGAAGAGAATCAGAAGGAAGCCTGGTTTTACTTTTCTTGTGGGCGTCCATATCCCATTTGGAGACAACCCTTCACCTTGCCAAGTGGTGGCCAGGTTGGGCGGCGGTATTTCCCGAAACTGTTTTCAACAGGAACTGGTAGGAGTTTCAATTCCCAAGCCACCAATTTGTTTGATTGAAGGGAATGCACAGAAAAGACGACTTGTTTGAATCCACCAACCCCAACTGTCGATTCCAGGAGAAGTGGTGGAGAGAATGACGAGGCAGGATTGTGGAGCGAGTGAACGAACGAAAGCGAAGGAGAGACATGGTGTGACATGGGTGGCTCGTCTTGTTTTGGCACCATGTTTCGGGTGGTTCTAAAAGGACAACCCAAAGGAAATCCGCCAGTCTGGGCCTCGTTATTTTACGGCACATTATTCGATGCCTTTCTGGTTTGATGCAAACCTTTCTCAGAACCGCTTCGATCACAGGGTTCCTTCCAAGCCTTTCCTGGTGAAGCTCTGGCAAGGGTTGCTGGCGTTTCTCCTCAGAGCCTGTTGTTTTATTGGCCCTTTTGGGCCAGTCTGCTAAGGGGTTGCTCTTCATTCGCCAGCGCAAAGCGGCATGCCGTGGGAGTGACTCAATTTTGTTTTCCACGCATTTGTTTTTCCGGCACCGGCCTGCCGTCTGAAAATGAAGCATTCCCTTACCTCCTCAATCAAGCAGGGAGCGTTTACTAATAATATCCTGAAATTCTTCCAGTTTCAGCTTACGGGCAGTCATTCAAGGCCTGTCGTCATGTACACGTACTTTCGCATGCTCCGAACTATATGAGGCAACCAACAGCTGTGCGTGGTTGGTATTTCACCGACAAAGGCGCAAATCCCCCAGCCCTGAAAAATGGAATTGGAGGGGGGTGACCTCTGGCGACTCTGGCGACTCTGGCGACTCTGGCATTTCATTTATGGTTCCATCGATTCTGTTATGGGGAAGACTGTAGAAACCTGGGGCCTTTTGGGGATCGAAGCGGTGTACACGACATCCTTGCATGGCAAAGGGGCTGGTGTACAAGGGCCTAAGTATTTTGCCATACCTGGGTACCCCGCTAGAGATAAAAATAGGGGGGGGGGGGAGGGCTGGGGATCCTCGAAATCTCGGTGCTATTTTTTGCTCGTTTCCTGACCGATCAGGCGGAGATCCTGACGCGGGTCTGGCACGGCAAGGCCGAGTTGGGCTTTGTGAGTTCTTTGGGGACGGGGGAGGGGTGTACTGGGAACCCATTTTTAAAAAAAATCAATTGCTGGTTGATGATGAGGCCATTTTCCAAAAGAAGAAGGAAGAACAAGTGCTGGTTGATGGCCTGGCACGACACCATGGTAAGTTGCCGCATTTCCTTTGATCCCTTGCCAAGATTCGGGGCAGCTATAGGTGGCCGGGGTCAAAATACTCCTCTCGCGATAGGGACGGTCATGCACTGCTCGGAAGGGGTTTTTAGAGAACCATCATAAAGTTTTCGGTTCTGGAAACCATCTGACCAAAACCCATTCAAACAAAGGGGGGGGGTATCTGAAAACGCATGGATCACATCGTTTCGGGGTTGGCTGTGGGAGAAAACACCAACCCATTGTCATGTCTCTGGTTTATCTCGCCGCTTTTCTCCTTGTTCCATTTTTGCTTGTTTTCCTCTTTTTTTTCCCCGTCTCTCTTTTGTCTTTTGAATTTTGTGTTTTCATCTCTTCATTGTTTTTGGTCTGTCTTTTTTCTCGACAGTTGCTCTTTATTCTTCTCTCTTGGCTTTGTGCTCTTTATTTTTTTGTCTTGTCCCTTGGCTACTCGTACTTTGCTCTTTTTCAGCTTCTGATTTCTCTTTATGCGTTTCCCCCCTCTTGTTTCCCTTCCCTTTCTTTGTGACGTCTTGGTGCTTTTTCCTCTTTTCTCTGTTTTCCTCTGTCATTGCTTGTCTTTGCTCTTTGCTCTTTGCCTTCACAATTTGTACTGCTCCTTTCTTTGCAGTTTGGTTCATCGTCACTTTTTGCCCTTCTCTCATTGTTCTTTGTCTCTTCCTTTTGCTCTATTTTTTCTCGGCCATCTTTTTGTTTCCTTTTTCTCCTTTTCTTTCCTCTTTTCCTTTCTTTTTTCCTGTTCCTCATGTTTAAAGTGTCATTTTCTTTGCTCCTTCTCTCTTCTCTGTGTGTTGTGGTCTCTGGCATTTTGCCTGCTTTTTTCTCCGTTCTCTCTTCTCCTTCCTCTTTCGCTCATCATCTCTGTCTCCACCTGCCTTCTCGCCCGCTTTCTCTCTCTCTCTCTCTCGTTCTCATCTCTCCGCTTTCGTAGTCAAAATAACTGACCTTGCCCATGCTCGGGGGCCGCAAGAAGGGGAGCCTAAGTGGATTCGATTCCCTTGGGTCTCCCGGGGAAACCCAACCCCCCCCCCCACACCCCCCCCCCCCCGGCCGCACGCCCAGTTCTTGGCACTCTCCGTCCTACTTCGGGCAGGCACTGCGGCGGGTGCGGGTGGTGCAGGTGGACGGAGGGCCCAAGCTGCAGGCGGGCTTTTGTCGCTACCCTCGGCATGTCGAGGCCTTATGATTTCCCCTTTAAGCATCCAGCCAACCATTTGCACTGGTCAACATGCTCGCACCACTCCAACAATGGGCGTTCCGCCGGATGGGGGGAATGTGGGTGGTTCATCGAGCCCGGAGTTGGTTGCTGGTCGCGCCTCGCAACATGGACGAAGTGGGCGCCTCCAGCTCCATGGGCAGCCGCGTCGCCCCGACGGACCTTCTTCTTTCGCCGGCCCTCGTTGTGTGGCAGAGGTCTGGGTGCATCAAACAAATCTCGAGCAGACAGGTTCCACAGGCGACCCCCTTAGCGCCTTTGCTCGCCTCCGGGGCGAGCGCAGCTCATGCAGATGGCACCAGCGGGGGGGAATCGGAATCAAAGCACAGGGGAGGTGTGTCATTTACTTCTACCCAACATTTACTGTCAGGAAACCACGAGAGGCAAGCCAAGGGACACCAAGGGACACTGAAAGGCCAAATACTTCGAATGAGGAGCTTGAATCCCGAATTAAGCCACGATCGAAGAATAGTACTGTGTGTGTGTATATATATAGTGAACAACAATCAGGTGGCACAAGGAAACCAATTATGGCCCATCCATTTCCTGAGAAATCTTCAAACGTGTGCTGCCTCTGCCCATTGGTCGGGTATGCTAGTTGATTGTCCCTCACTAAAACTTAAATAGAAAAACACATCTTGGAGGGAGCCCCCGTGAACAAAAACACCCCCACATGAGGACATGTGAAAGCAAAGACCTCGTTTGAGAATCTGTTCCCCGATTGAAATGGACAACACATAGCCGCCGTCAGAGATGCACGTCGCTCGGGGCACGCCTGCGCCCCTAGACATGCAAACGTTTTGCGACTGTGGCCATGGCATGTATTTTAACAGGCTCCCGCCTCTCCCCCCCCCCCCCAACCCCCCCCCCCCGGCTTCCCGCACGTGCCCCAGTTTATTAACCAGTCTTCCCCTTTGGGAAATGAAAATGCAATCCCGACACTGATGGACGCATCCGCTTCGCACCAGATGGATGAAGCCCCATTGACACTGTGATAAATCATCCACGGTGCTAACAACACAAGTGGACCTGCCTGGGGGTCGTCCTAAAGCGTGTTTTGCATTTCCGGAGCTCAGAATGTTTTGCATGTCGGTGAGGTTACAACTTGCAGGGCAGCACTTCCGATAGGAAGTCAGCCAGTTACACAACACCTAGCAAACAACCCTGGACTTGAAACAAGAAGTATGCAGGGTCCTTGGGCGGCTTGTTCCAGCATGGGAATTGATAGGACGGTCGGCGAAGGGGTGCTGTTCAATTTCGAGGCCTATCCTCAACTTACGCGAGAGGGACGTCCCTTGTGTGCCAGGGAAGCAATTGGTTTGGTGAGCAAGGGGCATCAAAGATACCCTTTGGCACCCTGGTGCCTCCTTCTTTCCGCTTGCGAAAGGAATGCCGCTAGTTTTGACAACCCCCCACATTACTGTGGAGGGCATATTGCATGAGTTTTCCATTAATGGACAAGATTAATGGGATTTGTGTCCACCAGCAATGTTTGAGGGATTTCCCCAAATCAAGGTCATTCTTTTTCCACCGTTTGCCTACAAAGAGCAGATCCACCTTCATGGCCCTCATGGAACTAGTGAAACAGCCTGAACAAACTATGTCAGGGGGTGTTCCCAACGGCAACCCATGGAATGTGGCCCGCAGCCGATCCACTCCAGAGCCTATCTGGGCCCACGAATCCCAATACTTTCAGCTGTTGGGAAGAACGGAGTCCTTGCCAAAACAAAGGGACCTAGAAAAGACAGCCTACCAAACAAGTAAACGCAGGAAACTCATGGACTCCTTTTCACCATTCTGTCCAGACTTGTTGGTGCTCAGAAGGGAATGTTGTTGAATGAACACCCAGGCTTTGGTCCCCAAGGAAACCATGAAGTCTTTGTTCTTCTTTTCTCGGGGTCGGATTTGTTTTCTTTTTTTTCCCACCTTTTTTCTTTTAAATGTATGGGTCAGACTCCATTTCTCAGGGCCCCATCTCTCCTCGGAGCCTCGGATCGGAGTCGCTCCATCGGAGGCCTTCAACGCGGTGCTGTACCCCGGCTACGGCCTGGGCCGAGACCTGGGCACTCCGCCGGTGCTGGGCATCGACGTGCTGTCCTTCAAGCGCGGGGGCCCGGCCTCGGGTCACGGGGCGGATGGGCGGAACGGGTGAAGTCGTGGGTGCGGGAGGAAGGCACCGGAAGTCCTCCTTATGAGTTTTTGATGGGCTTTTTGACGTGAGTTTTTTGAGAGTTTGGAATGGTTGTCCAGGGAGTTTGGGTGGTTTCCCTTCTTTCAATTGAGGCAAGACCGCAAAGGGGGAAGCAAAGGCTTGCTGGTTCTTGGGGAATTTCAAGCGGGGCCATTCTCACAGAAACAGCAAACGTGGCCGAGGAGGCGTGGGGATGGATGGCCGAAGTTGAGGGGGCGTGTTCGCCATGAGAACACGAGCCGGTCAATTGTCACAGGCGGGCGTGACTGTCCAGCCAAGGATGGCGATGCATCATGCCATTCTAATTGTATCAACAAATACTAAGCGGCCTTTTGCTTGCCCCTGTAAAACCGCCAAGAGGGTATACCAGCTGAACAAGTGCACATTCAAAGGCATCAGGCAGGGATCCTTGTTAATTTGTACCTGGGCAACGCGCTGGGCCCTGATGTCTTTCCCCCTTCTTGCCCCAACAAAAGTCACTTTACTCCGATGCAGATTAACATGCAGCCTGCCAACTCATTGTTGGTAAGGGGCTTCCTTTTGAAGAGTTCCCTTTTGGGTTCTATGTCCATATTCTTCTCCTAGTTCTCTTGACATGGAGTTGAAGCACCTGCCAATGTGCGGCCTCTTCTCGAGCCCGTGGCGCGGAAAACCAGTCCAACTTTCTCAGCTCAGGATCATTCCTTTCTTTGGACACTGAGGGCAAGGAAGTCAGGCTTCTCGGAGGTTTGGGAGGCTTTGCCACTGAGAGCCTTTCTGAAAAGAAGTTAGTGGCCCGCTAGGATCGCGGGCTTCCAAGGTTAAGAGTGCCTACACTAAAAGCCACGCCCTCTTTTTGAGGGGTTGATGTGGCTTCTGTTTTGATGTTTGAGCCCAACAGCTTGCATTTGAACCTCAAGTTGTGGACCTGTCCGATTGGAGGCCTTTCAATCTTTCCCCCTGAACCGATTTGGTATTGACGGAAAGCTTAGATTCATTTATAAGCATTTCTTGGGGGTGTTTCAACTGGTTCCCCAACGACACTCGGTGGGGGTGTTTCAAAATAGGGGGTTTAAAATTGGCAGTTTTCCTCACGTTTCCCTTCACCACCCAAAGGGAACCCTCACAAAAAAAGACACCTCAACTGGAAAAGAGGTCCAAATGGCCCTAAGGAGAGGTTTCCATGGTTTTCCCTAACAAGAAGCAACCCAAAAGACACACCCACCCCGCAGCCTACGCTTTTCGCCCCGTTTTCGCCGGAATCCGCCGACGCCGAAAAAGCGCTGAGCTCCCACAAGCGCTTGCTCTTCGGGGTGGACTGGGCGCCCATGCGGACGACGGAGGCCTACGCCGAGGCGCGGTGGAGCCTGCCTGCTAAAATGTGCTAAAAAGGCACAACAAAAGCGAGACAAACACGCCAGAAAACAAGTTTTGGGCCGGTGACCCTGGTAGAACACGTCGGCATCTTTTTTGGGTTGACCAACCAGCGCAAAAGGGATCTTGGGGGCCTTCTCGGTGGTTTCCCTCGAAGTGATCAAACAGGATGCCCCCAAGACAAGTCACTTTCAACCTCACCTGTTTGCCTGATTCAAGGCGAGCTTCCCTTGGTGGGTGAGATGTTTGAGGGAGAATATCAGAGGGAACCCTGATGTTTGGTGATCCCTAAAGATGCCTGTTTGCGATCCTGCCGAATTCTAGTTGGTGCCCCATCTGCACTTTCATGGGTGTCTGATCAAGTTTCAGCATTCGACGTTGTGGCTTTGCGACCTCTTGGGTCTATTCCTGCTTTCAGGTTCGTGAAACATTACTCTCTTTCTCAAAAATCGTGGAGGCCAGAAGAATTGGAAGACTGCACTCGTTTTGAGAAGGCCTTGTGTCCACTTCCAGTATGGCTGGAAATGTCACCGAGATTTGCCTTTGCCTGGAGCCAGCCGGCTGCTAGGCCTTCATCGCGCCTTTCCTCGGCGATCTGTGCGAGGATTATGGCGATCTGAAGATCCGACCGGGCGGCAAGGCGGGTCCAGCCCCCCCGAGTTCGCGGATTCGGGGATGGGAAAGCGCGCCGACCTACTGTGGACGGACGAAGAAACATTGCGCACCACGAAATGAAACCATGGGAAAGCCATTGTTTGTTGGTGTTTGCAGGGGAATCATCATTCCAGTTTTTGTTTTGGGTGGTGCAGGATTTCGTCCATCCACAGAAGGAACCCAGGTTGTGTTAGTTTAGAGGGGATCTATGTTGTGGTCAAACTGGAAATTGACATGGAGGCAAAACACACGGGTATGGATCAAAGTTTTCAGTCGTGAATAGTAATTTGTGTAGATGCAGGGGACAGGCGGGTCCTTTTACCGCTTGGACAATGGCACAACATTTGCCACACATCTTTGGCAAGCCCGTTGTGTCAAAGGTCTTGGAGACGCCAGTTCGCTGCTTGGAAGCAGTGAGGTCTCCTCTCGGTGAGTATCCAATTGCGTGGGAAAAGGCAGGGCTACCCAGAGACCAAACAGAATTGCAAAGGGGGCGATTCCGTCTTCAGCTCCGCTTTTCCCCAACAGATGAAAGATTGGGGTCTCAGCCCAGATAGGCTCCGGGGTGGTCCGGGGCTGCCCAGAGGTAAGGTTCCACAGGGGTTTCACCAGGGTTCCACCAGGGTTCCACGAGGGTTCCACCAGGTTCTATGAAGGCTGCGGGGTGGTGCGAGCACTAAAAAGAGCACCGCATGCTGTTGGGGATATCACCCGAGTTTATTTTTTTTGGGGGGGTTCCCCAACAAAATGACACACATTCACATTGGCACAGATTTCGAGCCCGACCACGAGCTGGGATCTCTGGGAATCTACTGGATTACTGGTTCTTTGTTTGATCCTTACTTGCACATACCACCAGGGCAAGGGAATCTGACCTTACGTCTTCTGAAGCCGCTTTGGGTGTGTCGAACCGAGTCCCTCGAATGGTTGACCTGCTGTCCCTCCAGCGCGCAGTGCTACATCGCTGGCTCCTGTGGGTTGTGGTTGTGGCTCACCAGCGTGAGGCGTATCACACAGGGCAGCAATTGGGGGCGTGTAGCATCTTGAGGATGTCACGCTGGTTTGCCATGGCCGCGCACCTCGGCCAGCTCCATCCATCCATCCATCCATCCATGCATGCATGCATGCATCCATCCATCCATCCATCCATGCATGCATGCATCCATCCATCCATCCCTCCCTCCCTCCCTCTGTCTGTCTGTCTGTCTGTCTGTCTGTCTGTCTGTCTGTCTGTCTGTCTGTCTGTCTGTCTGTCTGTCTGTTTGTCGGTCCTTCCGTTGGTCCATCCATCCGAGGGTTCCCTATGTTGCCTCCTTAACAGGACGCCTCACTTCTTGTTTTTGGAAACTGAGTTTCCTTTTCTTTTAGGCCTTTCGCCTTAAAAGTACGACAGTGGAGGGTCACAAAAGCGGCGCGACGCAGGTGTACGGAGAAGACCCCGAGTTCTTCTCCGATTTCATGTTTTTCAGCCGGCCCGAGGGGCAGCAGGACCGCGCTTTCGGGGGGTGCCACTGAGAGAACTGGTTGATTTTGATGGGGTTCCGGTGTCCCCTTTTGGTGGGGGTGCAGATCGCTTGAGGGAACAATTCCTCACCTGTTTAAGCATTGGTTTGCCTGGTATCAGTACCTGGTTTTTTCATCACTCGACGGATCTTTGAAGATCGGCTTGGTTTTTTTGTTTGTATTTTCCCAGTCGGCCTGCGTGTTGATGTGTTCATATGAAGACACATGTTTTGGGGTTGTCCTTTTGGTTTCTGTTTAAATCAAGCGGGAAGCGCACCCTCAAAAAGAGCTCCCCCCATTTTTGTCATTCTTGCGATCTCCACACGGCAAATCGAGCCGCGAAATACTTGAAATCAAAGGAGTTCGCCAGCGCTGGCTCTGAAATCTTCGATGCCACAACGGCCACCAGCCTTGCAACTAAGCCATCGGCGCATCGCGGCGCATCGGAGGCTCTGGCGCCTGGCTCCGAGCTGTGGAAGATCTTCGGCAAGTGCCCCGCCGACTGCGCCGGGGCTTTTTCCCCAGATAGCTGAAAGCTATAGGGGTTCTAACTTCTAATAAAGAAGGGAAAGTGATTTGCGAGATTGAGGGCCGGGTGCTGGGGGGCATGCAGTTTGGGGTGCTGGTGGAGGTGCTGCTTTGCGAGCTTGACGGCCGGGTGCTAGGAGGCATGCAGTTTGCAGCGCTGGTGGAGGTGCTGTTTTGCGAGATTGACGGACGGGTGCTAGGGGGCATGCAGTTTGGGGTGCTGGTGGAGGTGCTGTTTTGCGAGATTGACGGACGGGTGCTAGGGGGCATGCAGTTTGGGGTGCTGGTGGAGGTGCTGTTTTGCGAGATTGACGGACGGGTGCTAGGGGGCATGCAGTTTGGGGTGCTGGTGGAGGTGCTGTGTTGCAAGATTGACGGCCAAGTGCTAGGGGTCATGTAGTTTGGGGTGCTGGTGGAGGTGCTATTTTGCGAGATTGACGGCCGGGTGCTAGGGGGCATGCAGTTTGGAGTGCTGGTGGAGGTGCTGTTTTGCGAGATTGACGGCGGTTGCTAGGGGGCATGCAGTTTCAGGCGCTAGTGGGGGCATGTAGTTTGGAGTGTTGGTGGAGGTCCTGCTTTGCGAGATTGACAGCCAGGCGCTAGTCATGCAGTTTCGGTGCTGGTGGAGGTGCCGCTTTGCGAGATAGGGGGCCATGTAGTTTGGAGTGCTGGTGGAGGTGCTGTTTTGCAAGATTGACGGCCGGGTGCTAGGGGGCATGCAGTTTCGGGTGCTGGTGGAGGTGCCGCTTTGCGAAACTGACGGCCGGGTGCTAGGGGGCATGCAGTTTGCGGCGCTGATTACGGTGCTGGTGCCTGTGCTGTTTAGGGCGCTGATGGACAGCTGATGGACAGCGGGGGGGCACTCAGTTTGGGGTGCTGTTTGAGGTGCTGGTGATGGTGCAGGCGCATTCTTGCAAGATTGATGGCCGCATGCAGTTTGGGGAGCTGATGCAGCTGTTTTGGGGTACTGTTTGGGGTGCTGCTTGAGGTACTGCTGACGTTGTGGGCGCAATTTTCGGAGATTGCCGGCGGGTGCTGGGGGGCATGCAGTTTGGGGTGGTGGTGCAGGTGCTGTTTTGTGTTGCTGTTGGAGGTGCAGCCGACTGCGTGGGCTTATTTCCCAGATAGCTGGAAACTATAGACTTCTAATGAAGAAGGGAAATTGTTTTGCAAGATCGAGCTGGCGCAGGTGCGGTTTTGGGTGCTGTTCGGTTCAGGTTCAGGTGCTGGTGACAGTACGTGACGGCAGGGTGCTCGGGGACGTGTCCGGCGCTGGCGCGGGTGCTGCGTTGCGGTGCTATTGGGGCTGCTGCGTTGGGGTGCTGGGGCTGCTGTTTTCGGGTGTTGGTGATGGATGGCAGGGTGCTAGGGCGGGTGCTGTTTCGGGTATCGTGGTTGTCGCATCATCATGATGCTGGCCGCAGCATCATGATGCTGTCAGCAGCATCATGATGCTGTTGAACCGATTCGGGCGTTGTTGCTGCTCTAACTGTCGCGCGTAATGGTTCGTGGCTGGTGTATCATCATGATGTTGTCAACCACGTTATGATGCTGCTGCAATCGCTGCGGCGCCGCGTTATGGTTCGTGGGTGTGGTGGCGGGCATAGTGCTGTCAACATCAGGATGATGCTGAATTTCATTACACTGTCGCAAGATGACTCGTGGCTGTGGTATGATCAAGATGCTGCCTTTGCCACCACCATGATGCTGTGAGCATCATCATGATGCTGTCCGCATCGTCATGATGCTGTCGAACTCATCAGGACGTCGTCTCTGCCTTTCTTTTGCTAGATATGTAGCGCGGAATCGTTTGTGGCTGGTGTATCAGCATCATCCTGCCCACATCATTGTTTTGCTGACGGACTCACTAGGAGCTGGCAACATCATCATTATCATGCCGCGGAAACCATTATGATGCTGCGTCATGGTTCGTAGCCGTGGTGTGCTATCTGGGGTCTATGCTGGTGTAATTTTTTTTGGACCGGGCGCGGGGACGAGGGGGGAAGCCCTTTTGGGGTGGTGGGAAACCGTGAAAGGAAAGGTATGGCAGTTTGGATTGGTGTCTCAAGGAAGCAAAGCATTTGGCTGTCCCCTAATATTTGTTTTTCAGACAGACGACCCGCTTTGGATCTGCACGTATAGATGGAAACACTCAGGGATGGAGTTCAGTTTGGGGTTCCAGTCTTACTCAGCAGACTGAGTAGTGGTTTGTGAAAGAATGGGGTGCCCTGAAACCTGGTCAGATCGCTTTTGGTTTCCTTTCAGACAACAACCGAAAGAGCGCATCCTACTTTTGGCTGGGCCACCTTTCACAACGAGTTTGATATCTAAAGCTGCCTGGCAGGATATACTCTTCTCTCTGAAAGTTCCTCGCTCGACTGTGGGTTGAACTCGGGGGGTGCATGGAGTGCAGAACAGGACCTCGATGAGGACTTGCTGCGGGGCTAAGGCTATGATCCTAATGGGACCCACCTGTCCATCTACGTCCCTTTCTTTCCATAGGCCTATGTGCCGTGGACCATCCCTGAGAGAACCTCTTGGCAATGATCCGGGAAAAATGTGTGGTGAGAAGATGCTGTATTTTATGTCTTGATTCGACCTTAGCCCTTCCTCAAGGACTTGAGGTGCGCAGGTCATGGGTTTTCCCCATAAGGTGCGTAAGGCTCGTGACTCGCTTTCCGGGCCGAAAACGCACGACCGCGCAGGTACTTAGAGCGGTGCTCCAAATCGACTTTTGGGGCTGTTGCCCGGATGCCGCGTTCCTGATTGGAGACACACCCACTGAAAGAGCATTTTGATTGGATTGACAGGAAGCCGACTGGAGTGGCAACCTTTTCGAGGGAGGCAAAGGGATTTGTTCAAGCAGGGGTTCTACCCTTAATTTTCCGATCAAGGGGTCAACAGTTCTCTCATAGAAGCAGATGCTTCAACGTTCTTTCACAGAAGGCACTGTGCCACTGGGTAGGTGGCCGAATCCTTTCTGGCGACAAGTTGGGACCTGCCCAGGGGAATCAACTGCCTTTTTTATGCGGTTGACAGTTTGTACTTTTTGGAAGAGCATTTTGGTGGTAAACAACACGTCCAGACTGCTTTGGGGCAATCCACTCACTACCCTTCCGGGAAGGGTTGTGATCATTCGTGGTGTCTCGAGCAGACACTTCCTCGACCCGCCGCTGGCTTCAGGTGTGCAGATAGCTAGACAAGATCCATGTTGGCTGCCTTTCGAGCGGCCGTGTCTTAACATACAACACAAATGGGACTCAGCTGTGCAGCAATTCTGAAAATCAGGCCCGTGCCACAGAGTTATCTACAAGGCCTGGAAGAGGTGCGAAGTCAGAGCAAAACCATTCAGCGCACTTGCTTCCTTAAGCCAAGGAGCCAAGCGAGCCCCGCATCCTTTTCTCCTTTTTCGCCGCTCCCGTCGACCGCGAGAGCCATGGAGGGCGCGAACCCGGAGATCTCGATCCTTGCCATAAAGCGGCAAGAGCGCAGAGAGGACTGCCGCGAAAGGCAAAGGCAAAGGTAGAACTCCCCCAAGCCTCTGGCAAAGTCTGGCAGGAGCAACGGCGCGAAAAGCAGCGCCAGTTGGAATGGCTCTTCCGGGAAGTGGAGGCACTCGGGGATTTGGGAGTCTGGTCCTTTTGAATCCATTGGGCACCAGGGTCTTTTTGTCAGGGCGCATCAAGGGCTTTCTTCTCCCGTTTTTGGAAGCATGAGCTGAACGCTACGTTTCCGTGCTATTTTGCCAACAGTGCAATGTTTGGAAAGATCAGCATTCTTGCTTCGTTCTGAGAAAGGGTGGTGCTTATTGAAGGTGCCATTCAATAGCATCCCCAGCATTTCCAGCATCCCCCGCATCCCCGCATCCGCTCACACCTCTGCCTCCTTTACATCTCCTGCATTACCTGCACCCATCGCCTTGTATCCCTTGCATTGCCTTGCATCCCTGGCATCACTGCATCCCTTGAATCCCTTGCATAGCTGGGATCGCATGCATCCCCATCCCTTGCACATCCCTTGCGTTCTGCGTTATGTGGGTTGCTTGCTCTCCATCTCCGCATCCGCTGCATCTCCTGTATTCCTCACCTATGTCCATCCTGACCACAACCACCTGAATCCCTCTCGTGCATCCCCAGCATCAATTGTATCATTTTCATCTCATGCATTCCACGCATCCTTTGCATTCCAAGCATCTGGGAGCCGCCAAACCACCGTGCAATATATCCAACAAACTGTGACATCAACATGCCACTAAATCACCAGGCACATGGCCCGGGACACCACCCACAAGAAGCCCACAACCACCAGAGCGCAACGACCTTGCCTCACATGCATCCATTGCATCACATGTTTGACATCCATCCTCCATCCAATGACAGAAGGAGGCTGAGTTTGGGATCTTGAGCTGGACGATGGAAGGAACCATGTTTAAACACACGTTGTTCGAACCCTGCCTGACATGACCCATTTTGAATTCAGCCCGCAACCCACCACTTTGTAGCTGCAAAGCAAGAGGCCAGTCTCATCCGGTGCTACAGTCGAGGGCAAGTGTGCGACAATCAAAGCTGTAAACTGCCAAGAGCGCTTGCTTTGCTCAACCAAATGTCGCTAATTCTTGACCTCCAAGCCACACCCACGCCAGATCGACTGGGAGCAGGCACATGAGCCGGGGCCCCAGACAGGGTTTTATGTTGCGGTTTTTCGTTGGTTCTTTTCCCCTCAGGAAGGTTTCCTGTCAATTTTTCCAGGTTGGCTCCCCCGCTGCTCCCCCAAAACCAGGGTGTCCGGAGCTCAAATTCTGATCCCTCGAGTCCTTGAAGCATTGTTTAATGGGGAAAGTGGACACCAATGATTATTAGCAGGGATCATCTATGCTTGGAAGTACTCAAATGGCCGCAATTTGAATCGTTGGACAACCTTGAAAAAGGCTGCTGGACAGAATCTCACGCGCAAATGATGTCCGCCAAAAGGTCTCCAATTAAGGTTCATGCCCAAAAGTGTGTTTGGAAGCAGACAACCCCTATTTGATAGCTTTGAAGGGACAAAAGAAAAGCCCCCCCCAACAACTGTGCGTACAGGGCCAACTCATTTTGAGAACCCATTGAGGTGCTGCGAGATCAGTGGTTTTCCCTTTCAGGCTATCGAAAGGTGGATGCATTTTTATGTTGCCAGCATAACATCAATAAAGGGGAATCTGCTTTATGATGCACCGCACCAGCACATCCTTTTAGGCGAATGAAATCGTGGCTTACCTCACATTTTGGTTTGCGACTTCATATGAAGGTTCATTGGCTTCAGATTGGTATTTTGTTAAGATTCACCCAGATGCTCGAGAAAAAAGCCTTTCAACACTGTTTTACAACAGAACAAGTCAAGTTCCGGCACATTCGCCTAGCACATCCCATGCCGTCCCATTGGGTCGCAACGGAACACTTTAGAAGAGGTGATGCAAGGCTGAATAGGTCGGTTGCTCAGAGGGTTGATTGACCAGGCAAGTCGGGCAAGTCGAATCAAGCACATCCAAGCACCCGCGCGCCAACAAAAACAACTCAACTTGAAACAGAGCCATCTAGGGTGCGGCGGGTCCGCTACTTCCTCATGGGCGCCCCATGGTGGCCGATCGTCATGTCATTTCCCTCTCACTGGCGGCATTCACCGCGAAACTTCTCGGGTTTGCCACAAGCCAACCTCACATCCACATCCCCCCCGCTCCGCCCCTTCTCTGGGAATCCAGTTTGCATTGAAAGGCCGACAAGCGGATCAGAATCGAAACATAGCAACACATTTGCTTGACTCTCACGTCAGTTTCGGGCAACTACCCGGCCCCCCTTCGTGGGGAACCCAAAGGTTGTTCAAACAAGCATGGGCCCCACCTTACTGTGGGACGAACTGCACGCCACGCGCCACTTGGGATTGATGAACTCCTATAAATGTTGTTTGATACAGTGGATGCCCTACATATTGCAAGTGCACCAGCCATACTCAATCGACGAACCATGGTAAATCACGGCAACATAGGGACTTTCCTTGTTCCCTCACTCGCGATACTGCGGATGATTGACACTTTGCACCTGGGATGGACGAAGCCCTCGTAAAACTGGGTGATTCGGCCTGGATGTCGAGCATCCACAGGACCTCGAGCCCTAAGGGCCCCAAGGGCCCAAGGGGCCCAAGGGGCATGGGCGAAATCCATGGAGCTCTCAGGCTGATGGGCGTGGATGGCCTCCAGCCGAACATCAAGGAAGCTGGGAGCGGAATCACCAGCCTTCACCGTGGGGGACGCCCAGCGTGAGCCTCCCATGGACCTTCACCAGGTGGGTTTTTGTGCGGCTTGAGATGCTGCCGTTCTTGGTAAACGTTCGTAAAGGGAAGCCTAAAGGACGTCCGCAAACTTTGGAGTGCCCCCAATTTTAATCGGACACACGGCCAAATGCGGGATGGCTGTAGCAGGGGTATGTGGCGTAATTCCATCATAAACCAAAGGGAAGCCACTGATTTCTTGGATTTGAGACAACCCACGGCCCCACAGGTGCCATGAAAAGCTCCCCAAAGCACCTGGAGATAAAAGGTTTGCCCGATCTTGACACATGTGACTTGTGACGGGAAAGGCAAAAGGCCGATTTGCTTTGTGAGACCAATCTGCGGCTCTGAAAAATGTGCTCTACATTGGTCATAAACAGTCTAGACGTTTTGTTCACCACGAAACATGATCTTAAATTAAGACGTGCCAGAAACTGAGGAGTGAGACGATGGTGGCTGCCAAACCAACCTGTATACCTGTATCCCAACCCAGTGTGTCCTTTGGCACCCAAAGAAATGGGTCAGGCGGCTTCCTTTTGGTTTCCCTTCCCCAAACATGTTTTCGACGTCGCCTCCTGGAGGTTGTGCAAGTGCCGGGCAGCCAGAGTTGCTGCAGACTGGGCGCCCAGCGAAAATCGGGTGGGTGGGCGAAACGGGTTGCGCCCCGTAAACCTCGTTGGACATTTGTTTTGGGGGAAACTAGGTGAACCCTCCCAAGCAGGGTTACCGCCTAGTTCGGCAAAGATTTGACATGTGATTCTAGATAGGTGCGTGATATGGGTGTCTCTTGTTTTGAGGGTACCCTTTGTTGTGGCTTTAAAGGGAAACCAAAAGGACCCATCAAGTTCAAGGGGATTCCAGGGCCTTGGTCAGCCACAGAGCCGGATTGATCAGAGGCCAATGGTTCTGGAAGTTTGGTCTGTCTGTGGCTTCCCTTGAATTCTTCAGTCCCGAAACGGGCAACCAAGTCAATGTAGATAAGGGGCACGGAAGGGCAACCTTTTCCGGAGAGAATGGAGGGTTTTGCCAGCCGGACACCGCGAGGACTTTGGAAAAAGGAAAAAACACATTCCAGCGGCCACGGTGGCCACCAGAGATGCAAGGGGAGCCATGGGGTGAAGGGCCTTGAAATGGCGCTCAACGGCCTCTTGTTTTTTTTTTTTTTGTGGGGGGGTTGTTTGGCTCACTCATACTATTCGGTCTGGCCATGGCTCTGGCTATGGCTCTGAATCCGCAGCTCAAGAGAGCAGTGCTTGCGGAGGAAGTCTGACGAGGTTTTGTTGAGGTCAGAGCTTACCCACGTTGCTGATGCATCCTCAATTCAGGTTGGGGAAGTCCAGCAATTCGTGCACATGATGGGGTTTCCCACACACGGGTATGTCTTTTCCTGAAGTGCCCAAGCTGATTCCCGGGGAATCAACAAGTCTGCAAACCTGGTCTTGGTCGCAACTCTCTCGACCCGTGAGGTGGTGCATCAAGATGAAGGTGGGGATTCGAAGGGGGCGGCTGGTGGTTCGGGAGCAGTGGGCAGCTGTAGCCAGAGTTGAAGGGCTTGGTACCTTGGGACAGCTTAGGATGGTTTGTTGTTGGTTGAGCCAACCAGTTGGTGCTTCAAAAGGTGAGGTGACTCACACCTCACCTTGACCCATTCTCCCTTGGGGCGATGTTTTCTTGGTGACGTGTAAGTAACAAATAGGTGACACGTTTATCAGCGGCGTCTCCTTGGTAGACCGACCCGCCACGTTTTCGTGGCCCCGCCAGGCGGACATCGACAGCCGGACCCAGCTGGGCCGAAGTGCACTGCACTACGCGTGCGAGTGCTCACGCCGGGGGCCCGACGACTCGGGGAGGACTTCAATTGTTTCCCTTTGAAGCCAAACCAACAAGCGTACCCTCCACAAAAAAAGACACTCCCATGTTCATCCAAGCTGGGCAAATCAAAAAGGAGCTCACCGATTGGGGGGTAAAAGAGAACTACTCGGGGATTCCTTTCTTTTGGTTTGTGACTTGGAGTAACTTGCCCAGATTTTACTTCTCCCAAACCCACTGGGGATTTCTCGTTTGTCATTTTTGGCAGAGGGAGGGAACCTCCATCAAATCAAGTACCACAAGAAGGGGTGCCCTGATTCCCACAGGTCTGGGTTATAGGTTGTACCCATAGCTACTCCCCCCAGGGGCTCAGGAGACTCAAAACAATTCGATGGGATCGAATCGATAAGTCAAGCGAACCAGTTTTAGTTGAAATCATTTGGGTGTGCTTGTTTTAGGGGACACCCGCAAAAGGGTGGCGCACCCTTTAGTTTCCCTTAAAAAATCCAACAAACGGTACTTTTAAAAAAGGCACACCCATTTGTTCTTGGAACGCTGAGGAAGCTTTGGGTGATGTAGAGGTCGCCCAAAGAGCACCCGCCAAGGCCTAACTTTTTGGCCAGCTATTTGTGCAAAAACGGCGTGAAATCCGTTTCCGCAAACGCTGCGGGCGCACTATGGCGAGGTCACCTTGGTTAAGGGAGGCAGTGCCCTCAATTCAGGTTGGGGAAACTTGGCACTCAGTGCACATGGGCGGCTCTCTTTGGTTTTCCCTTCAACTCTACCCAAACAAACTTGGGCGTTCGATTCGTCAATTTCGAAAGTTGTTGGCATCCTATACCCCACTCATAAGTCCCCAGTTCAGTGAAATTCAGCCTGTTGGTGGGTTGGCTCATCATTTTCGAACTCCGCAACGAAAATCCAGGTACCCAAGACTGATTCAGAGCCATTCAAGGAGTTCTTTTTTGATTGCCCTTCAACATCAGAGCTATTGCAAGGCCCTTTCTTTGATTGCCCTTCAACATCAGAGCCATTGCAAGGCCTTCTTTTTGATTGCCCTTCAACATCAGAGATTTCCCTTCAACATCACCACAAAAAAAGCTACCCTCAAAACCTGACCCACCCAAAGGAGCCGTTCCGCGAGGCATGCGCTGCGTTCGCATCCTCCTGGAAAACCAGGCGGACGCCAACCTGCGTCCGGGCCCCGGACGTCCCTTTTTGGTGGTTTTGCTCGAAAAGTAGATGGCGATTCCTGGTTTACCTGGTGGTTTAACCATCCCGGCCATCTTTTTTTTTTTTAAAGGACACCTATGCTTGCAGAGTTGTTGCGCCAGGCTCGTTTTCATTTTTGAAGTCCAATTCCAAGTTGCAGATGACGCAGCGGAAGGAGATGCTGGCTGGATATGCGGGAGCATGGCGCGAGGGGTTTGTTAGATATCAACGCGGGCGTGCTTGGTTGTCTCAAGTTCGGTTGAAATGATTGAGCGTTCCATCTTTTCCCGGCAGATTTGCAGATGATGTTGACTTTTCTCTGTGGGCTATCAAATTCTGTGACCTTCATGCTCGTAAACAAATGAGGCCAGCCAAAAACACAAAAACGCACGCTTGTTCAATCTGCCCAAAGGAAAACGGATGGGCAATGATGGGCATGATGTTTTCCAGACACCCTGCTTTCAGGTTACTCCCGAATTGGCTGCTTGGATTGGTGCCTGGTGCTTGCGGAGGGTGGACGGGAAACCACCCCAACCTCCAAGCCACCAACTGCTTTTGACACCGCTACCCGAGCAATACCCTTCGACGGCTAAGCCTGTCTTTGCCTCGAACTCTGTGCCATTGAAGGGATGTGGCAAGAAATTGCCGCAAAGAACACCTCAAAAGCGGTTGGCGGACAGATCTCCGACACCTAAGCTATTTTTGAAGCCATGTCAGAGCCCTAGGTGATGAGGTAAAAACCACGTGGGTGTAAGAACATCCGCTCCGCAGACCATATGCTGTGCATCTCATCCCACGCATGTTTATCGAGGCAGGTGCAACGTCCAGAGTTACACCAAATTTGAATGCTCGAACATGTGCAAAACTTGTTTGTCGTAGGATTGAAACAGCACACACACACACACACACACACACACACACACACACACACACACACACACACACACACACACACACACACACACACACACACACACACACACACACACACCCACACACAAACACACACACACACCCACACACACACACACACACACACACACACACACACACACACACACACACACACACACACACACACACACACACACACACACACACACACACACACACACACACACACACACACACACACACACACACACACACACACACACCACACACACACACACACACACACACACACACACACACACACACACACACACACACACACACACACACACACACACACACACACACACACACACACACACACACACACACACACACACACACACACACACACACACACACACACACACACACACACACACACACACACACACACACACACACACACACACACACACACACACACACACACACACACACACACACACACACACACACACACACACACACAACCACACACACACACACACACACACACACACACACACACACACACACACACACACACACACACACACACACACACACACACACACACACACACACACACACACACACACACACACACACACACACACACACACACACACACACACACACACACACACACACACACACACACACACACACACACACACACACACACACCACACACACACACACACACACACACACACACACACACACACACACACACACACACACACACACACACACACACACACACACACACACACACACTCACACACACACACACACACACACACACACACACACACACACACACACACACACACACACACACACACACACACACACACACACACACACACACACACACACACACACACACACACACACACACACACACACACAAACACACACA